TTCCACCAATGGTACATCTTCCTTGCTTCAGCCTTTCCCCTGGTGTCTGGGACTTGGGATTCCTGAAAGCTGGTCTTGCTAGTAAAGACTGAGGCAAAGAAGGCATTCAGTACCTCAGTCTTTTCCATGTCTGTGTAACCAGGTCCCCCATCTCGTTGAGCAATGGGCCCACATTTTCCCTAGTCTTCCATTTGTCACCTGTGTACTTGTAGAAGCCCTTCTTGTTGTCTTTGACATCCCTAGCCAGATTTAGTTGCATTTGGGCTTTAGCTTTCCTAACTTCATCCCTGGATGCTCAGACATTGTTTCTGTGTTCCTCCCAGGTTGCCCGTCCTTGCTTCCACCCTCTGTATTCTTCATTTTGTGTTTGAGTTTGACTAGGAGCTCCTTGTTCATTGATGCAGGCCTCCTGGCATTTTTTTTCCAACTCTCTTGAGCTTGGAGGAGGTGATCCTTGAATATTAACCAGCTTTCTTGGGCCTCATTTCCATCGAGGGCCTTATCCCATGGGACTCTTCCAGGCAGATCTTTGAAGAGGCTAAAATCTGCTCTCCTGAAGTCCAGGGTTGTGAGCTTGCTGTGTGCCCTCCTCCCTGTCCTCAGGATCCTGAACTCCACCATCTCATGGTCACTGCAGCCAAAGCTGCCTTTGACCTTCACATCCTTCCTTTTTGGTGAGTATGAGATCCAGCAGAGCACCTCTCCTCATTGGCTCCTCTATCACTTGGAGGAGGAAGATTTCATCAGTGCACTCCAGGAACCTCCTGGATTGCTTGAAACACTGATGAAAGTGATATCTACCCCAGATATTGGTTTATCCTTGTGAAAACTGTGGCAATATTCCCATTACTCCAAGATTTATGAGTGAACTTTGTACCAGCCCTTCTTAAGGAGCTTCACTTTTTCTTGTTCCTGTCACCATTATTTTGCTTATAATAACTGTACTAATTAACTGTCTTTTTATTCTTATCATATTGGCATTTCCAAATAAGTAAAAACTATAAAAATACATTAGTGTGCAATTCATATAATTTATTGAACAAAGAATAGAAATTAATTTCTACACAGCTGTTCTAATGTTATCTGTTCTCCCTAGGAATAGGTGACTGCACAATCAGTATAAAAATGAATTAATGACAAAAGAAACTATATTTTACACATTATATGTGCGTCTGTATAAAATATGAATACAATGGGATGTGGATTTCATCATGTTATATAAAAGGAGCTGTGTATAACCTGAATTTGACTTTATCATAACATTAGTATTCCCCTACATCTTGTTGAGGGTTTTTTTATGCTTCATATTGATATATCAGAAGGTGTTGTAGGCTGCTGACTTTTCTACAGAATTAATCTTAACTTTGATCCCTTTTATCATACTGTGCAGGAGTTCTGAAGAAAGCTAGTGGGGAGCTTTTAATAGGAGAAACTAGAGCAAATGAAACCAGTGGGCTTCCTGAACAGTTACTTCAGGTAGAAGAGGTGAGTATGAAAAGAGTCTTACACTTTGTAGGGGATTTTCTTTTGTCTGTGTCTCCAGTGTAGTCTGTCACCATGTTCATTATAAACACCTCTTGCCATAGTTTCATTATTTAGCTACTGCAATTAATTTTAGGTGCAAAGTCTCAGTTAAGATGGAATAAAATCTTACAGCATTCATGAAGAAGTGGTTGTTATTTAAGATTTAATAACAGGACGGATTTAACATCAGAAGTATAAGATACCTCTCCTGGTTTCAGCTGGGATAGAGTTAATTTTCTTCCTAGTAGCTGGTACAGTGCTGTGTTTTGGACTTAGAATAGAACAATGTTGATAACACACCGATGTTTCAGTTGTTGCTGAGCAGTGCTTACACTAGTCAAGGACTTTTCAGCTTCTCATGCTCTACTGGCTGAGAAGGCTGGAGGTGCACAAGAAGCTGGGAGGGGGCACAGGCAGGACAGCTGACCCCAACTGGCCACAGGGATATTCCACACCATATGACATCATGCTCAGTATATGAAGCTGGGGGAAGAAGAAGGAAGGGGGGGACGTTTGGAGTGATGGCGTTTTTCTTCCCAAGTAACCGTTACGCGTGATTTATTATTATTATTATTATTATTATTATTATTTTCCTTTCCTTTTCTGTCCTATTAAACTGTCTTTATCTCAACCCGTGAATTTTACTTCTTTTTTTTCGATTCTCTCCCCCATCCCACTGACGGGGTGGGGGGTGAACGAACAGCTGTGTGGTGTTTAGCTGCCTGCCGGGTTAAACCACAACACCACCTCATAACAAAATAGTAATAAAATGCTAAAATATGATAGCTTTCTTCAGTATTAAATATATTCTCAAATACAGCAGAATCTTAAAAAAATCTATCAAGTTCTTAGCATTTGATCATAATGGTGCTTCCTATGGAGAGAAGTACTCATGCGATGTCCGGTTTCTTTGATGCCAACAAACTACTGTGTAGTAAGCACTATGCTTTGTAGAATGTATGTGCAAGATTAAGTTCTAGTCTCGCTTCCATTTACTACTAAACAAGTTTTTATTGTTGAATTTATGGGACCTAAATGCTCTAACAAGTCTGATACTTTGCAATAGTGGAATTGCATTTCCTAATGGCTCAATTTTAATGCTGAAATGACTTCTTTAAATGTGCTTTGAATGAATTTGTGAGACTAATGTTCCTATATCTTACAGATTACAAAGAACAATATTTTGAGAAGATTGAGCTTTACTTGACCCAAGATTAAAAAAATTAAAAAAAAAAGGGGGGGGGGGGGGCGCAAAAATGGGTGTCCATGGGGGCTGCCCCTATGCTCACTGGAGTTGAGTGCTGGGAGTGGGGAAGGGGAAAGGAAGGAGGAGGCAACTTCTAAATTGGAGTAAGATGGAAGGGCTCCACTTCGTAGCCCTTCATTGTCTTCCAATTTAGTATTATAGCTGCAACTTGTTAGGAATCCTTCTTTTCTTTTCTCCTGCTATGGCCTCATAGTGGGGATCTTTACTGTACATCTTAACGTCATTCAAATATTTCTCTTACAGTGGTGCAATTCTCAGTTGGCCACTTCTGGTAAGGTTTAAGTCTGCTGTATGTCATATGAGCAATGCAAAGCAAGACTAGTGGAAAAGTAATGATGTCCTACTGTGTCTGCTTCTTGCAACTGTTATGCTTCAGACAACTTCAGAAGTTTGTTTACAGAAGGCAGGGAACTGATGTAAACCATAGTAAAAGCCAGCATTGCCTAAAAACTAGAAATCTCTATTTAGACATTTTAATCTTTGCTAAATCCAGCTCTAGAGAAGTGAAATCCAGTGTGGCTGTGTTAAAACCAGCTTCTCTAAATGTTTTCCATTAATATTCATGGTTAGTAGTTTGCAGTTGGTACCTTGCAGTGCAAATTATTACAGGGTACCCATTGCTGGATTACTTGTTAAACTATTGAAAATGGTTATAAATGTATTTGACTTTGTTAAATAGATTCCATTAAAGATTATAAATAATGTAAAGATGAAGCATGGCTTTTAAAAAGCAGTCTTGTTTAAACAGGTTTTTTTATAAATTTGATGATAAATTTAATATTGTTATGCATTTTTGTTGACTGTATGATTTCAAGGCTAGCAGACTATATTTTAAGTTAGTAAAATGAATTTCAAAATGTGATGGTGTCCTTTAATTTAATTATGGATGTTTGTGTAAGTTTCAGACAATAATAACACTCAATAATGAATTTGGACTGATTTAATATAAATATGTATTTCAGCCTATTTTACTGAAGTTTGGCTGGAGAAATGCATTTAAAGACCTGTCTTCTTCAGTGGCTCACTGTATAACAATAGCAATCGAGGATTTTTCAACTAAAATTCTTCAACATGAGCAGAAAGAAGAGTTTTCAGCTGCAGGCTATGCAATGAGTCTTGTAAACAACGAGCAAATGAGGGAGTCCTGCGGAGCAGTCCAACAGGAGGAGCAACCAAAACGAATTGCTAAGGCAGGTATCAAAAGATCTGAAGTTTGAGGGGAGACAGAATGCCAAGGCTGTTTGCCATCTACACTTTGAAGTACTTACAGTACCATTAATATTCTGTATCTTATATAAATGGAATTAAGAAGAAAGTGAGAGGCATTACAATCTGAGGCTGAACAGAGCTTTATACAATAGCCCATAGTCTATACTGGAAGGAATTAACTTTTAAACTTAGCTGGCATTATTTTTTTCATCCAGAAAGTTCTAAAACATTCTGATTAGTATCTGCTCTGTTACCAAGTGGTTTGGTGGGAAAATGCTGAAAGCTTTGAAGCATAGCTATGAAGGGATTTCCTGTATTCATATCCTTAGACGTGCCATTTAACTAATCAGCATAACCAATAATGTGGCCAAATTAGAGTTCTTTGATTTGGCTGAAAGGTCATTTATGACGATTAATTAAATTGGTTTTCTAAGGGAATATGTGTTTGGAAGTTTTTCTATTTAGTAAGCTTTACAACTGTTCTAGCAAATTTGGAATGCTGTTAATGAATGTTTGCTTAAAATAACACATAAGCTTTTGGGACATAATTTTAGGGAGATCAATGTATGAATTTACTAAGAGATGACAAGTTTGTTTTCAAATTCAGTATTAAGAAATGTGTTTGTATATTTTCCAAAATAAATTAGTTTAGAAAATTATCTTTGTTTACAATGAATTAACCTTATGCTTTGAATGCACATCTAATGAAATCGTAAACAAAATGAAGGCATTACTGGCATAAAATGGTTTTAATTTTTTTTCCCCAATATATATTATGCAGCTTTAAAGTAAGAAGGAATGAAATAATAATTCATTTGCTGTAGATAAACATTTCTCCCCTGTATAACAGAATGAAACGTTTGTAAAGCTGATTTAATATATTTATGTTTTATGCCAATTTCATTATTCAAGAATCTGACCCTAGTATAAATTAAACAGTGCTGTCAGAATACAAATAACTTGATGCCACGTTTATTTCTCTCAGTTTTGTTCTGACATCATGGAAGAACTTGACACATTGCTTCCATTGGCTCTGGCATGCAGAGATGATTCTCTTCAGGAAATTAGAGCAAACTTTGTAGAGGCCTGCAGCAAAGTGGCAACAGCTGTCCTGGCAAGACTAGAGGAGAAAAGCAAAGACGTTCCCTCCAAGGCTCCCCTGCAAGACTTGTACGCTGCCCTTTCCACAGCGATATACGTCTTTCAGCATTTTACAATGTATGGCAATTTAATGAGAGAAACGAGCAAAAAGTGAGTCCCTTTTAGTTATAATGGTTTAATTCAAACATAAATAATGTAGGACCTCATTCCATTTTGGTGATACAGTATGGTGGTAGTTTTCCAAATTGCATCATATTTTTTAGCACACGCACTGCATGTACTATTTATGGAAAGACCTGAATCAAAGCTATTGATAATCTAAAGCAGCCATTACAAAACAAATTATTTATGTTTAAGATCTGCATTTGATTTGCAGATCAATATTTTTTATTTATTCAGCTTGAGTAAATAAGATTGTCCAGTGAACTGAATGTACTCTGCTCTCATATAAATAGAGGGCTAAGGCCTTAATTTCCTTCTCTGACCTTTGCAATAGCTGAATTTTCATAAAATCTGATTTAGCACATAGCAATCTTACAGGACAGTATAAATACACATTCCTGCGGTTTTTCCTTACACCGTCTGTATTCAGCAATGTGAACAAATACATCCAATGTAGGTTTAGAATTTATTTTTCACTGCATGCAGAATAAAAATTAGAGAAGATATGAAGTAGTAGTGTAAAGTCTAAGACAGTGTTTGGCCTGGGGGCAATATAACTGCATTTGCTGTGCTTTTAGGAGATTTTGACTTAAGATACTACGAATCTCTTTATTGGTCCATGTGTTTCTGGCCATATGTAATTTAAAAGTAGAAACTGGGCCTGTTGGGAGAGACACCTGAACTAGCGCAATTTTCAAGGAATGTATGATTTCTAAGGGGTTGTATGCACTGTTGAGCTACGTTCCCTCTGATGTCCTACTCTCTCCTGCATGAAGTGTATCTTTGTGAATGGGAAGTCTGAGCCAAAATATTGCTCAATAATTCTACTTATGTGTATTATGGAAGAGTTTTGGTACATACCTACCAAAAATAATCTCTGGACTCTGTGTTTATGTTTTCTTTATCACGCTCAGTGCTGATGCAATTATGCTTCAACCCAGAATCTCCCAATAACTGAATGACAAATGTACTTTTATCTCAGAAAATAGGATGAAGTAATATATTTCTCAGTGACTTGGTTAAATGAGAATTTATAGATGAGCAGACATATTTAAAGAACTTGTGAAACAAAGACCAGATATTTTTCAAAAGTGAATGCTAGGTTCAGACTCCAGGACCAAGAGGAAATGAATGATTGATACCTAATAATCAAAACCATTTGCAGTACTGGGGATTGTTACCTCCTACTGCACAGCCTTTCAATCTTTGTCTCTTTGATCATTCTCTCTGAACAGACCCCTGTTCCTAGTGCCCGTCCAACAATATCAGGAATTCATCAACGTTCTCCAGTTTCAAGTTACGAACTACTGCGTCAGAGTTTGTGCTACAAGCATTTTACAGGATGCTGAGAGCCACCACTGGGATGACTACAAAGCTTTTTATGAGGTGTGAGGTTAAGTTTACTGTGCCTCCCTTTTACAAAATATGTTTTACTGGTTGCCAGCTCTCTGACTAATTAGAAGCATAACATCAGCATTATTTTTACATAAAGATTATTGGAATTTACTATTTTGAAATATCTATTATTGCAGGCAAATGTCCCTGTAGAAATGATGTAGGAAAACATAGTCATTTAAAGAAGAGATAAATCATTACCATGGAGTGTTTGTGTCATTTGCTTAGTAAAATATTGTGTGTCAAGTTCAAGACATTTATATAGAACTCAGTAAAGAAGACACCATCGTTTTAACTCCTCTTCTCATAGAAAGTGTGACATACGAAAATGAAAGACAGCTATTTTTCTCCTGGAAATTTTGAATCTGATCTTTGATTTTTATTTTCAATTGGTTCCCCTTTTTAACTTTTGTGAGTGAAGGATGGAACAAGGAAAGATGGTCAATATAGTTACCTTCAGCATTCAGCAATATATTTCTGAAATAACTAGTGCCATTTCACCTGCATTTTGAAGTCACAGGTCTGCTCTTAAACTATAATCCTAATGATTCTGTGAAAACACCCTGAGGATCAAGTGAATTATTATAATTTATTGGGTTTTTTTCTTCATCCCAGTTAAATGCAGACATAGACTGACATATACTGTTTGAAATTATTTTCACTTAATTTCAGGATGAAATGAAAGTATTATATGTTTTTTATCAATAATAACTGAGATTTCCTGGAGACAAAGTCCTGGCCTTCCTTATATCATTTGCTGTGTGAGAGAATTAGTGTGTTTTTGTTAAGCATTTTCTAGAATTCTTACATGAGAGAAAACTCTGCATGATACATGCATTCTACAGATGTAATATAAAAAGCTGCTGAGTCAGTGACAAAAATCTGTACTGGACGGGTGATGCAGACCTTAATATGAATACTCTATAAATATGCCCATCCCTCAAAGACAAGTAAATTTAAACATTTTACTTTTGTTTGAATGTTAGTCCCGATGTAATGGGTTGATAAGAAGGTAAGAAATTTAGTGGCTTTTGGCAACTGATAAATCATGATGTGATCTTCACTGTCTGTAGTCCATATGGTGCTGTGTCCTGTTTATTAGTGACTCAATAACTATTCACCATGGAGGAAACCTAATTGTCACAATACCTGTCTCAAGAAGAAAGGGCATGGATTAGCTAAACAATTTTGTCATTACTGATCAGAACTGATGTGTGTAGGAAGGGATGAAGAAAGCTGGTATCGCAGCTCTGTATTCTTGCAGGACTTGAGGTGGCAAGTACGTAATTTTACATCATCACTTTGCTCTTTTTACTGGGCCATGGGCCTTGGCCCAAGGTTGGACCATGATCTGCTCAGAGTGCCTTCAGGAGGTACGATGCTGAGCAGCTGCTACTTCCATTGAGCTCTTGTAGGCATCCCAAATGGAAGAGATTGGCTTATGACC